AATTAATACAAATAAATTACAAGTTAAAAGGGGCATGGAAATTTATCTTTTTTGTATCGAAAAAATATCGAACCGTGAGACTAAAATATCGAACGTGAATTTCCTGTATCGTTGCACCCCTATTGTAAATGTATTTAAGATTTTAAAAAATATAGATTATCACAAACTTGAACATGACTAGTAATTGTCTACATTTTATTAAAGTCTGAAAWTTACAAATAAATGATGGATCAAATAACTGTGCTCCACATTGGTAAAAAAAAAAAATTGGTTACACTATCTGCAGGTTGTAGGTTGCTTAAATGCAAACTAAAAAAGTCTAACGCACATCAGTTGTGTTTTAATGATTTCAAGTTGGGACRTCTCTGGAAACGAGTCCAACAAAAYGAAAGAGGGCTCTGAAGGAAAAGCTGCCTTTTCTGTGCACAGAAGCTGTCTTTCTGAGTAATTACTCCACACAGGTGTGACAATGGCTGTCAGTTCTGTGCCACTTTGAGATGTGCTCTGGGGCAAAAAGCATCCATTTGATAATTTTCAGTATTATTCAAGCAGAAGAAACATTATATGTAGGTAGCAAGTGAAACTAGAAACATGCAGGTATAATAAATCCACATGATTTACTCCTGATGTCTGCTTCACAGAGTAACGCTCCAAAAATAAATTTAGGGTCTTGATGTATTTCATTATAATTTATAATTCAATAAATTAAAATTAATAAGAGCCCAGCATTCCTGAAATGAAAGTTTTTCACGCACTGAGGTTTAAACTAAAATATCTTACAAGAAGGAACGGAGTTATGGCCGATTTATTTAAACTTTGCAAAGGATGTTGAGATTTCACAAGATGCATTAGTGCTCAGAGTYTGTGTTGAGGATTACTTTCAGCTACAAACAGAATTTTAGCTCAAAATGTGATGACGCACACTGTATTCATTTTTGTGTTACAAAATGTTAGTTCGCTTTGGTGGACATTTTGAATGGGATTGACTCTAAAAGATAAGTTGTAGAGGTACATCCAATGATYACTTTGAGTCTTTTAATTAAAATTCATTCTGTAGTGTTTTTTTTCACTGCACCCCTGCTGTATAGCCTTGGCCCCCCCAGCTGCCCACCTACTTTTATGTCCCTAAAATACTTGTAATTATTACTTGTTTGTTAGTGTCTGATACTGCACCTGGAAGGGTCCATGAACTTAAATACTGTCCCAGTAGGTGACATGGCACTGGGGTACGAAGTGGCCATAAAATACAGCTCCCCTGAAARAGCAAAGAGTTTGTCACTGTTGTTGAAGTCAGCACAGCTCAGAGCTGAGCATCCCAATAAACCAAGCAAACGGCACCTGCTTCATCTTCAGCGAAAGAGATGATGAACTTGTGGTGATGATTGATGAGTCCAGGAAAGGAGCAGGTCGTCTGATCCCCCATACAAACGCTCCTCTCCTTCCAGCTTCCTGTTGTTTTATCTTCCTCTAACGCCATCAGTCGACTGAAGAATGTATGTGGAAAACCAAGAAAAGTTTACTTTCTAGCATGACAGTAGGCCTACACATGGGTAAAGAACATTATGGCTCATTTGACTTCAAAGTTACAAGACAGGAAGACAAATTCCTTTTTTTGTTCTCTCAGATGAAAAGCTAGAAAAAGGATATTTTCTTCTTATTTGGCGCACGGTAATGCAATCTTACCCGTTCATATAGTCTCCAAAAATGTACAGGCCGTTCAGATTGGGTGATTCACATCCTCTGTACACATATCCCCCTGTGACAGACTTCCCAACATGATGGCTATATGCAAATATGGGGAGGATGTCATCTGTTGTGGCAGAGAAAATCACAGGATTTAACCAAAATCTCAAATGGAGGGGAAGCGTTTTCCTGCCAAAACCAACAGGTGGTAAAGTATCAGAAAATAGCCCGGAAGGAGAAAAAATAAATACAAAACAGCCCACCCAGTGAGGAGTTGTGGCACAGTTTGATGTCGTAACACTCGAAGCCCTCCTTCGCTCTCCACCCGTAGTTCCCTCCGTTCACGATAATGTCAATTTCTTCGTATCGGTTCTGACCAACGTCTCCGCAGAATATCCGACCCCGGCCGTAGCGGCTCACCGGGTCGCCGCGATCCACGGAGCACCGCCACATGTTTCGGACCCCGTAGGCAAAGACCTCTGGCCTTGCCTTTGGGTCTCCGAGAAAGGGATTGTCAGGAGGGATCCTGTACTCTTTCCCCCTGGGGTCATTTCCATCCACATCAATGCGGAGGACTTTCCCCAACAGAGCACTCCTGGGAAAGAAAAAGAAAAGACTGAAGTTACCAACATGCACAGTTTCATATTCTAAAAGATGCTTTAGTAGATAAATACGGCTTTTCTGTAATAGTAGAAATACAACCGCAATTACAAACAAACATGTGGTGTAAAATATATGTAAAAATGTTGTTCTAAAGGATGCAGTGAGCAGTTTAACCTGAAATGAAACCTTGTGTGTGCAAACAAGAGGCACTAATACACCCCCATACCATCAGAGAATCAGGCTCTTGAAATGTGTGCTAAAAACAGGCTAAATTGTTCCTTATCTCTGCTCTTCAGTCTATTTTAAATTAAATTTGTTCCAGAGAAGATGTTTGTGTGTCTGGATGGAGCTTTCCCCAAGCAGGCTGRACCATGGTTACAGCAGTGAAAGACACTGGGTGAAAGACATAAATGACTACATTTTTATGTATATTTACCTAAAAGAGGTGTCTGAGTGAGAAGATAAATATTTTAGTCCAGTGGTTCCCAAACTGGGGGGCCACAACCTTGTCTGCTCAGAGGTTATACATAAAAATCACCAAAACAAGTCCATTTGAATACATAACTCTGTATAACTCAGTACTTCTTTTTTTTCTAAATAAAAGTTTATAACTATTCACTTAATTCTTTTTATAATTTATTGAAGAGATAAAGGTTAAAGACATCTTTAGGAGAGGTGGAGAGTAGCGCTTGGCTTGGAAGTAGGAGCTTTGAGGAAAGGGAACCGTGGGTTTAGTCGATTCAAGGAGACATGTCATWATATTAGGGAGCTGAGTTTTCTCATGTACCACTAAGTTCTCATTGATCTCCTTTTGTTCTAGTAGGGKTTTTTTTTGCATATTTTGTTTACCTGCTGCTGCTGAAAGTTGTAACGCATTGTTTCAGATTGTGCCACATACTTTGAAGACATACAAACACATATAAAAAAGGCAATAACGTGATGGCCCATCTTTCATGGTAGCAAGCAATAAAAAGGGAATATTAAAAATACTGTAACATTTATTCAGGCTTATAGAGTTTGTTTTTTTTACTTGTTCTGTGCGTTGCCGTACTTCCCAAACGGATCTCCAGCTTTTCCACCATCTCCTGTGAAGATGTACAAATAACCATCTTGACCAAACAGCAGCTGGCCTCCATTGTGGTTCGCAGCAGGTTCCTCAATCTCTAAAACAACTCTGAACACAAAAGAGATGCAGTTCAATACAACTTTATACGCTATGTAATGTACTTGCTTCTCATAAAAGCATGTCAGGTTTAAAAAAAACTCCATACACATATGGAGTTTGTCTCCATACCCAACACAACCCCTACAATTAAGATGTGTAAAGACAACACAAAAAAAGCATTTTATTGATGAAGAAATTTATTGTATAATATTMAACTAGTTAAAGTCACCTGAAGTTGCAGCAGCTGTAGAAGCTGCCATTTAAAAAAGGATTTATTGATGTGTACTTATGCTAAATGTGTCAAATATGAATTGCACTGCAAATACTCAAAAAGCAGATGTAGTGGATTTTATTTAAAAAATGTCAAGTAGAAACATTTGACGTATTTTTTTTATAAATCCTCTACGTCTGTGTATATTATAAATGAGAGAGAGAGAGAGACAGAGATAAAAAACACTTCATTTGAATTCCTATTGAAAACCTTGTTCACCTAAAATTGACACATCCTCAACACAAAGTTTGAGTGTGAGATCTTGTCACACTGCATCAGTTCATGCATGATATTGTCAAGGTTTGATTGAAGCGACTGTAGCTGCCACTCTCAGCATAAGATGATTTTAGTCTAAAGTTCTGACAGAGTGGTGAGTGATGCTTTTATCATAACTCAGTAAATGGGGATATTTTACATCGTTTTTTTTTATATAAAGGGAAGTGTAACACTAAAAATCTTAATGGTGCATGAAGAAGAAAAAAATGTTTCCTGTTCTCTGGCATTTTGTGAAGTATAACTCAATAATGTAACATGTCTGTATAAGCTTTGGAGCTATTCAAATATTTCAGTGGATGTAATTCTGAACGTCCTACAATTTAAATAAACATAGCTCAAAAAGTTATAAAATTTGTGTTTGGTAGATTACTTCTTTGTAACAATGCTTCATGACAATAAATCTTATACAAGTCCCCCTGATTGGCAGCACCTGCGGGTACCAGAAGCTCAAAAAAGAAGTGTCAATAGAAACAATAAAATAAGCTGTTTGTCAGTGGCAGAGAATATTTAGCAAATTTTTCATGTTCACAACCCTCAGCTCTACTGCTCCACCCACTAATGCATTTTCCAACGRTATAAGGTTTATTGCCAAGAAGAATTGTTCCAATAAAGACAGAATCTAACAAACACAAATTTCCTTATATTTCATGCTAAGTTTATAAGTTGAAATACATTCAGGGTTTTCTTTTTGCACAGAAAAACAAATCTTTCTGATGCCTTACCTCTCTGAGAAAGGATCGGCCGTGTTCATGTCATAGCTGGACACTTTCATCTCGCTGATTCGGATTTTCTCCACTTTGCCGTCGACCTGAACGGAGTAATAGATGAAGAAGCGCCCGTTGTATCGATACTTGGGGTGGAAGGCCATGCCCAAGAACCCCCTCTCGTCCCCCAGCCAAGGCGTAGTCAGCACCTCCCCACTCATATCCAGAAAGGGCCGCTCCAGACGGCTGCCGTCACGCAGGTAAACCCAGACGAAGCCCACCTGCTCGGCGATGAACATGCGGTGTGTGTCGTCACCACTGTGCAGCATCAGGACCGGGTTCCTCAGACTGTTGGCCACTTCGGTCAAACACAGCTGCAGACACCCCCTGGGGTCCTCCACAACTCGTCCCAGGTTGCTGTTGAGGTCAGTGCTCTTCAGAACATTGGGGTAGCAGTAGTCCTGGTCGGAAAGGTCCACCATGCTGCAGAATGTGGACATGTCCCGCTCGGAGGTGTCCAGCAGCACCTGGTTCACAGTTAGATATCTGAGCACGTGGCGACACTTGCTGTGAAACTTAGAGCAGTAGCCAAAGCAAAGTCCTGGTAGGTCTCTGACAGGCGTGTAAGGATCCTCAGCATCATACAGGTGGGCAGCATAAGGAGAGCACTCCTGGATCAGGAAAAAAAGGTATTGAGATTACAAAAAGAAGTAAAAATGACCTACAGATGGATGTTACACTTAACGGTGAAACAAGTGTCAAATTTGACAAAATGTCCAAAAACAAGGTCACTTTCAATTTTATGGCAAAAAAAAAAAAACGTGACAGGGCAACAAAAGACATTAATGGTGTAAATGGTATGAATAAAAAAACATCCGGAAGAAAATGTTGCAACATCAGGTCAGTAAGAGGTTTGGATGTACAACCACAATTCCACTGAAGCTGTGATGTTGTATAAAACATAAATAAAAAGAGAATATGATGAATTGCAAATCTTTTTCAACCTATATTCAATTGAATTCACTAAAAATACAAGATATTTGATGTTCAAACAGATAAATTTGTTTTTTTTATTCACTCATTTTAAAGTTAATGCCTACAACACGTTCTAAATGAGCGGGGACAGGAACATGTTTACCACTGTGTTAATCACTTTTCCTTTTAAAAGGGATCCATGATTAGTTGTAACATTAAAATTTATTTGATAAACATTTATTTTAACTGTAAAATAAAGACTGTAAAAATACTGTAGGCTGTTTAGTTTTGTAATTTTTTTAAATATATTTTAACATGGACGGGGCCATTTTATTTACACGCAAAGCATTCTGGGTAAATGATGACATCAACTAGGTCATCGGTGCGAGGCTGCTAGYGAGCTATATCCACCCTGAAGGTTAATCTTGGACAATATCTGATGATCGACTCTTTTAAATGAAACCAGAGAGCGTTGACAGAGAGGAGAAGGTAGAAATGACTCAGCCTGTAACTGAAAATATGGATGGAGGACAACAGAGCTGCTTCATGGAAGAAGAACCTCAGCTTAGCCTGTTAGCCATCGCGCTAGCCCTCATGCTATATTGCCTTATATGCATTAGCTCGGCACTAGCGCGACGAGCTAACTAAACTGAGGTCCTCCATCCATATTTTCAGTTACAGCTGAGTCATTTTTGTGTTCTCCTCTCTGTCATGCGGATGGAGGACCTCAGTGACGAGAGGAGAATGTGTAGCGCTGAGCTAATACATATAAGGCAATATAGCATGAGGGCTAGCGCAAAGGCTAACAGGCTAAGCTGGGGTTCTTCTTCCATGAAGCAGCTCTGTTGTCCTCCATCCATATTTTCAGTTACAGACTGAGTCATTTCTACCTTCTCCTCTCTGTCAACGCTTTCTGGTTTCATTTAAAAGAGTCGATCTTCAGATATTGTCCAAGATTAACCTTCAGGGTGGATATAGCTCGCTAGCAGCGTCGTGCYGATGACCTAGTTGATGTCAATTTACCCAGAATGCTTTGCGTGTAAATAAAATGGCCCCGTCCGTGTAATATRYTKT